ACATGGTTCAACGGCACTAGTTCAGTTATTATTAATATTTTAATATTAAAATTGAAAACTGAAAGGTCAAAAAACGCAACAAGTCCCAATGAAAGTGGTGGCGTGGGTTCAGTGGGGAGGAGCTACTTACTGGCTATCAATGACATTTTTTGAAAAAAATCAAAATTTGAAACAAATTTTTCGTCCTCATCTTTTTTTTTTTTTTCCTCCAGAGTTTTGGTTCTCATAATCCCATTTGTGTGTAGTTTCATCTTCCTTTTCCCCCCTTAACTTTTGTATTTTAAAATATCTCAATGCTCTTTCCTCTCTGCTCTCTCTACCTCAGGTGCAAAGTCTCACATATTTGTGACTAAGAAAATTTTCTCCACGCCAACAACAAAAGTCATCTAAATGCAAGTGAAAGTCATCTTCCTTTTAGTGGAGCAAAAATGGTAGATGGGAAGAGTTAAAAAATAAAAAATGCTACAGTTTTGAGATATCCAGTTCCTCTACCTTTTCTTTTCTTCGACGTTTTTTCTTATGTATTTTTATCATCTCTTTCCTTTTCTTTCTTCTTCCTTCCTTTTCATCCCTTTCCTTTTCATCTCTTTCCTTCTGCTTTGGTTCCCAGTCGGTTGTTTTTTTCTCTTCAGCAATAAGGTGAAATGATACTTAACGTGTTGGCTGGTTTTTCCTGTATTAACTGGATCACTCAAATCCCAATTCGTTTCCTTGACTAGACCGGCTGGGTGACGGTTCACAGTTTGGTTCAGGTTTACATACCCTACCTATTGGTACCTAGAGTGGGTTATTTTTGCTAATTCAACCGTTTGCATTAAGTTTTCCAACTTTATTTTATGTTTGTGAATTTTTTTATCTTTCTACTTTATTTTTTTGAATTTTTTATTTTTCTTTTGGTGTGATGAGGTTTTGGATGTGTTTATTAGTGTCTTTTAATATCTCTTTTTAAGCTTTGGTGTTATTTTGACTTGATTGTATTTTTTGTGCATTTTCCTTTTATCTTTTCTAATTTTTAGTGCATTTTCATTATTTTTTAACTAAGTTTTAATATATTTTTTTTACTTTTTATCTTTGCAGTTCACATTGCAAAGAGATGTTGGTCGAAATCTCTCATGCAAGTTATGTTCTCAATTTTAGGAATAAAAGTGATGAACATATTATTTGTCACTAATGGTGTCTAGATTCCCAAAGACCTTTTTAACAAATTGAAACGTGCTGGCTTTAAGGTCATTTCAACATGTGTGTATGAAGCCGACATAATGATCATGAGGACCTAGAGCTTTGAAAGCTCCAATATCAAAAGCAATATTTTTAATTTCTTTTTTAGTTACATCCACTATACATATCAGACTATAGATGATGGTTGTTTTTCCCTAACCATTCTCTATTGCCAATGCTATATAAGAA